CATTCATTCCCTTGATAATAATACAGTGATTACCTGAAGGCCCGAAGGCGGCCCTTCTTTGAGGGCTCAGGCGAAAACTAAGGCACAACTTCGTCACGCGCTTTCGCGGGTAAGCCCAAAACATCACGCTATCACGCTACACATTAACTTTACATGGCGTGCTCACTCACAAAAAGAACGGAATAAAAAAAAATGCTCTGTCAACGCCAGCCATGCAGCTTTGTCGGTGGCGACATCACGCCAATTTCCAAGCTGCTTCCCGTGGCAAAATTCCTTTGTAAATTCACATGCGCAAGCAGTGGAAGGGATGCCGCAGTGCCAGGTTCAGCCTTTTGCCCCGCCCGTAGGCCTGCAAACGCCCGCTCAGCCTCGCAGCCGTTTTCGTTCACAGGTTGCCCGCCGGCGCACGCTTCGACGCAATTGCTTGCCACGTGTGCCACACTCGCGCCGCAGTGGATGGTGTGGCGCGTGCGACTGTTGCGAGGCCGGGCGCTGCCTCCAGCGCATCGTGCACTCGCCGGCGCTGCCGCCGTGGGCGGGCATGGCCACAGCAAACTTGCTGTTCGGGGTGGCTTTTTTGCTCCAGAGCCTCCGCGTCGGACAAACAGCAGAGAGCCGAGCAGGGCTCGCCTGAGCCTCCGAGCCGTCGCCGTGAAGATGGGCCGGAGCCGGAGCACCGTGGTCGCGACCCACGCCTTGACAGTGCCTTGACGAAGCCATCGCCAGCGTGCTGGCGGCCAAGGGCTCTTCCCATAAGGGCCGTGGCCGAGGCCGCGGCAAGGGCCCCGGCAAGGGCACCGGCAAGGGCAAAGCAGCCGCCGCTGGGGATGAGACATGGCGTCTAACGAGGCCTTCGACCGGCAGCCAACCTGAGCCGTGCCAGCCAGTAGCAGTTTTTCAGTGCTCTGACCTTTTGCGTGGCCGGCAAGAGCGTGACCCAGGCTCTCGAGTTCGGGAGGGCTGCGTCGGAGAAGCGAGCCACCCGGGCTCACCGGATGAGACTACACAGGTAGGCAGGCAGCGGGAGCGGGCGTGGCGGGCCTAACAGGCCGTCGTGACAGGAGAAGAACCCCCAGGTCCAGATGGGCCGGTAACACCGGAGTTCGCCACGCCCGCCGGCTTGCCACCAGGCTCGCCCCGCGTGCCTGGCCCCGACGCAACATGGCAAAGTCGGGGGCCGCCAACCACCCACCGGCAGTACCACTCCAGGAGCTGGAAGAAGCTGTGGCCCAACAGGCGCGGGCAGGTGCCGGGGCCACAGACGCAGAGGCATTCCGTAGGCTCCGCTCCACGGCACCGTCGGCGGGCGTCCCCTTCAGCTCTCCTTGTGTGCTATGCGGGGGAGGGGGGAGCCGCGGCTATCGCGCATGGGGCCGCGGCCTTCCCGCGGCCTGTAGGCGTGACAGACGACGGTGGTCTGGCTGGGCGCGACGTGGATGCCTTGATTGCAGGTGTCGCCGCCCGCACGGCGCCGGTGCGAGGATGGGGAGAAGATGCGGTCGGGGAGGCCGTGGGAGGGGACGGCGGAATAACCCCGCGGCCGCTAAGGCTACGGCGGCGGTCGCCCCCACATCCCCCGCGCAAATCGACAGTGACAGTGACTTACCCACCGCATATAACGAAGAGAGTTCTATTTCAATGGTGTTTCAATGAACGAAGTGAAGCGAGAACACAAGGAAATAGAATGAACGAAGAGAACGTAGTGCACGCATCATAAAAAGACTTACTATTTGGCGTGCATCATTCTTTTCTCTATTTTTCTTATTTCTTCATTCCTTTCCTAATTTTGCTTGTTGTTCAATTGAGTTCATGCGTCATTCATATCTTCACTCCTTATAACTCAATTAAACAAGCAACATACGAGAATTAGAATGAAGAATCCAGTAAAATAGTCTGGTTTCGTTCACATGTTCACGCGCTCATTCCATGTTTTCATTCACTTGTTCACGTTGTTCTCTACACTCTTCATTCATGATCTGGATACAGGACTGAGCGGTAAAGCCTTCATGGTAAAGCCTCAATGAACTGGATATGTGGACTAATGGTATACTAATGGTGAATCATCAGTCAAGGAACTTTCTACACCTTTGGACCGCAGCCCACGCCGAACCAGGACTTGGGACGCCGAGTCGCCCTCCCAGCGCTGCTCCCGCGCATGACGTCGATCTCGAGGAGGAGGTTACCCGCCGAGTGTTTACATTCCAAGCCCCGCCCCGGCAGCGTTTTGCGGAACGCGATGCGTGTCGCACTCGAGGCAGTGCCGGATGCAGAGGGTGCGGGGGAAATGGATGGGCGCGTCTCGTCGTTGTCGGGGTCGAGGTTGGCGGGCGGTTCGGTGCTGAAGCCGCCTCCTTCCTCCGCCAGCTCGCGCGGTACCGCGCTGCCAGCCTGCCGCCGCTGCTCCGGGCCGCTGCCAGTGCCGGCTGGGTCCAGCGCTGGTCCGGCTTCCTCGCGGTCGCCGCCATGCGCGCCTATGCGGCCTCCCTCCTGGAGCTGCCGCCTGGGGGTGACCTCTGCGATGCGGGTGAGGCGCCTGACCTGCACGAGGTCCTTGCTGAGGTCCGCGGTGGCCTGCTCGCAAGCCGCCTCCCGGCGCCTCGAGCCGGCCCGTAGCTGGTAGGCTTCTTGCACTGGGACCGCGGCGACCGCTCGTGAAAAGGCGTGGGAGAAAAAAAATCGACGGGTGGAAACTTTTCCTCCTCGCACCTAGGATGCTGCAAACCGGGCTGTACAGCGGAGGAGCTACGGCGTCGGGAACGACTGTTCTGCGCAGGAGAATGGAAGCGGCTGCTCCGCGAGGGTGCCGAGTTGGCGTTGGCCACACCACCGCGAGGAACCAGCCCGAGTGCGAACTCAGTAGGCGCGCCAAGCGTGCTTCCGCGTTGGCGCACTTAGGGGAGGTCTCGGCAGCAGCGAAAGCCTTGACGGCTCAGCCGTTAGCCCCAGCTAATGCTGCGACCCGTAGTGCACTTCGGGATCCCGCCCGACACCCACCAACGGCACAGGTGCCCATCCCGCCAGAATGCCGTCGCAGCCAGCCGCGCCAGCCCGTGCAACTGTGCCGCCAAAAGTTGCTGGACAACTTACGACGCGCGCGATGCGGGGCCGCGGCGGGCCCTTCGGGTTGCACCAGCGAGCATCTGCGCGTCCTCCTCGACGACGAGCACACCACGCTTGGCAGCCGCCAAGCTCGCGCAAGGCGCGGTCCCGCCTGAATTCGTCTGCGCGTTGCGTCGAGGCCGCATCGTCGTGCTGACGAAGCCCACGGGCGGCGTGCGCGCACTAGTTATGGGCGATGTCTTCCGGCGTCTCGTCGCGCGCACCTTGGCGCAGCAGTTCGGGGAGGCCTTCAGGGAGGCCTGTGCTCCTTTCCAATATGCGCTGAGCACAAGAGCGGGGCCCGAGGCCGTGGTACGAGCCCTCCGCGTTGCCACAGAGACCGATCCCCGGACAACGGTGCTGAGCATTGACGGCATTGGTGCGTATGACCACATCTCCCGGGCGAGCATGCTCGATGCCCTGCGAGGGCACGCTACTTTGGAAGGCCTCCGTCCGTTCGCAGCACATCTTCCATGGGCAAGCCAGCTGCTATACGTGTTTTATGACGAAGGGGGCGTGGGGCACGACGTGTGGCAAGGCGAGGGTGGGGAGCAGGGTGACCCCCTGATGCCGGGGCTGTATGCGTTGGGACAGCACTCGGCCCTGCTCTCCATCCACGCCCAACTGCTGCCCACGGAGAGGCTGCCAGATTGAATAAAATTCCAAGTTTGCATTTTTCCATGTCGATTAAAATAAATCGAATTCTTACTCAAATTAACAAGGGGGGGAGGGGCCGGGGGAGGGGGGCGGGGGAGGGGGGGGGGGCTGGCCGCAGTGGCACGCACTCTCATAAAAAATACGATTCTCGTGCACCACTCAACAAATTAGTGCATTGAAAACGGGTTTTGCTCACGGCCCAGGATATGCGGGGGCTGGACGGTTTGCAAGCGTTAACAGGGGATTTTGTGGTCATGACAAATTATGAGGAATACATTTTTTGCTTCCTCAAGTTGTCGAAGGCGACCCTGTGGCATTTACCTTGAATATCCGCGGGCCTTTTGTTTACGCACTCTCGGAATTTAGTGGGTTTTTTACACGGGCGCACTTGTCCCGCCTCAAAGTTTGTTCACCAAACCGTTCATTCCATTCACTTTTGCTTCTTTGAGCCAGGGTTCTAAATCAAGCCAGCCAATGAAGGTACTCAAAAGGTGATCAGAAAAGGAGGTTAAGGTGTCATGACATTGATGTTGTACGAAAGGACAAGCAAAGGTTAACGGCTCTCGCCTTGTCACACCTTGAGACCCTAACTTTCATATCTTGGTTCACAATCTCATTCACTGTGCTCACCTCGCTCTTTCTCCCTGTCACACCTTGAGACCCGTCCTAAAGACCCCATACATGCAGTATATGTTTAATATGCTTTGCAAGGAACGTGGGAAAGCCAGTAAAAATATGTTCATTTTTTAATGGGGTCTCAAGGGGCGAACTTAAGGTGTCATGTGTGCGCGAACGAAGCCATTAAAACTCTTTAAAAACTGTGCGCAGGAATGCTACGCGTTTGCATTCGCGAGAGTGGTTGCATACTGACGGACCCTTGTCTCACATCACGACACCCCCGCCGGCGGACACTGGCAGGGGGGACGTTCTGGACTCTTAATGGTGGTGTGGGTTTTTGAGCTGTGCTCTGCTTTCCTCCGTCAGCCCTCGTCAGCCTGGTAGCTGTCCCCGCCGTAGTGGTGCAAAACGAGAGAACGGGGAAAACATGGAAAAACCCATTTGCGTTGGTTCGTTTAATGCCAAAGAAGTCACGTGATCTTATTCATAATCTCATTAGCGCTCGAACCCACAAGAACCCGATGAAATCCCACCTCCCCCTCGATCCCTTCCCTCACATGCTTCGGTGCAGATCCTTCATTTGGCTCTTACTAGTTTGGCCACGTGAGCCCCTGTGAGATGGAACGATGCTTCAGCATGCCTTGCTCGAATCTTCTGAAGATCGGAAGGACCGGAATCGGGGTTGTGAATGAATGTTGAATATGCTGAGCAGACGTTTCGTTTGGTTGTGAGTTGGTGGTTGTACTTGGTCTCATTTTTGCTGTAAGCCACGAGGAGCTGAGCCGCAATTGGCCCGCTCTTCGCGGCCAATCCTTGTCTTTCGATGGACTTGCAGCTGTCAATGGCGCTGGCCCCCGTTCAGATGTTAGCAATGCTAGAAGCACACTCCACGAAATCCCGGCGGTCGGCGTCGTGTTTCTCATGAGTGCTATTAATGCGGTGAGCTACGGCACGCTCCTTTTCGCAACGCTTGACGTGGATGCTGCATCACACGCGACCATGTTGCCTAATGGCACCAGCATTTGGCTGCTCAGCCAAGTGGGTGCGCAGCTGGGCACACTGTTTGTCTCGGACATCCGAAGTGGCATTTGTTGCCCTATGCTCGAAATGATACCTATTTTCCACGCTATGTTCTCAACGATTGCCTCCAAGATGCCAGAATCCTCACTTCCAGAGGTGCAAGGAACTTGCATTGCCAGTTGCTTTGTATGTACTGCAAGCATTGGTATCACGTTGTTGCTTGGAGCACGCCTTGGCCTTGCCAAATATCTTCGTGCAGTGCCGCTGATCGTGCTGAAAGGCGCCTTGTTTGGAGTCGCCCTCTTCTTGATTTCCAGCTGTCTACAGGTCTCGACCGTGTCAACGCTTTCCCTTGAGAAGACATGGCACCATTGGATGCCTGCTGTGCTGCTAGGGTTGTTGCTTTTTGGACTGGATGAAGCCATACATTCACCTGTTGCCATTGCATTGAGTTTGTTGGCCATTGGCGTTACCCCTACGCTCTTGGATGTCTCGGGCCTTTGCACGATCTCAAATTTGCAAGAGCAAGGCTGGGTATTCTACGGAGCCCAGGATTCTGCAGCAGATTCTGACGCCTGGTACGTGCAGCTGATTGATGTGTACGCATCATCTTTTGACAAAATCCATTGGCTGGTGATCCTAGAGATGATGCCAACTGTGTTGGGCATTGCGGCTTCAGCTGCACTGTTGATGTTACTCGGAACGCCCATCGTTTGTGCATTCGAGGTTCAGGAACATGCAATGTGATTTTGTAAGGTTTTGTTTACACACACACACACACAATGACCCTGCTTGCAACTATTTTTGCGGGTTTGTTCTGTGGCCGGGTGATCTGTCGCTCGTCCCGCGCAAAGCAGAGCAAAATCAAGTATCTTGGCATAGTGGCAGGGCTCCTATCTCCGGATAAAGGCTCAGAAGCCAGGGACAAAGACGAGTAAGTGAGAAAGGAAGCAGGACAGAACGAGAGACATACCAGCATTTTGTTTAGAAAAGGGGGACGAGGTATATTGCTCGCAACAACGCTGTAACCCATCCAGTCCGTGTCAAGTATGATTCCTCCATGGGGGTTCTATGTAAATCTCTAGGGTTCCATAGACTTCAAATATGCCTCCGTTCATGTAGATGATCAGCCAACTGGCGCTCTGTAGATTCTCCTCTCCGTTTGCTGCCGCTTTTGCCAGGATTCGAATTTCATTTCCGATGGGCTCTTCTCAGTCCAAGGTATCTCAAACAGGGTTCGATCACCATGAGGCTTCGACGTCAGCATCCCGTCTCGATTCGGATCGATCTCGGTCATTTCGAAGCCTATCTCGACTAGAGCTCCTAGTCCAAATAGGACTTGTCCACTGTCAGGTTGATGGATTTAAAGGCCGTGGAACTCTTGACGGAGCGCGAGTTTAGCTTGGACAAGGAGCTCCGCAGCATTGGTGTCAGCAACCTGTTCAGCGCCCTCATTGGTGGGGGCTGGCCTTGCTACATCCTCTGCTCCCTGAACGTAACTTGCCACCGTCTGGGTGGCAGGTCCAAGTTTGTGGGAGTTTCCCTTGCCGTCGGCGCAGTTGTCTGCCTTTTCTTGGTATCTAAGCTTCTTCCACGGCTTCCGCGCATCCTGCCCGGAAGCCTCTTCATGTGGCTGGGCTTGGTCTTTGTCAAAGAGACGATCGTGGACATCTGCTCGAAGCACACCCACAAATCGGACGTTTTCATCGTAGCAGTCATGGCTTTAGTGGTAAAGTTCTATGGTTTCAACGATGCGCTTCTTGTCGGAACCCTTTTGGCCATGAGCTTCTTCACGGTTCGCTACAGCGGCGCCCAGGTGGGGGTCCGCACCTCTGGGGACGCACGCTTTTATCGCGCCATCTGCACGCGGGACTTTACTGAGCACTCGGCGTTGGAGGAGTTGGGGCATCTCATCGAGGTTGTGCATGTCAGCGGCTTCCTCATGTTTGCCTCCACGCCGGCTTTCACGGACGCGCTGCGCAAGCTGATGGCCGACGCATCGGAAGGCCCGGAATGGATCCTTCTTAATTGCCAGAACCTGCAAGGCCTGGATTACTCTGCGGCTTTGGAGCTGGCCACTTTGGGACGCAAGGCAAAGGAGAGCCAAAAGCGTTTGGTCGTCACTGAGCTTCAAGGCAGTGTGCAGGAGGTTCTGGAACAGGCACGGGTGGAACTCAAAGCGCTGCCTGGTCCTGGCAGTCCTGGCAATGTTTCGTATGGACTTTTCTACCAGCCACACTACCAGCGTGCCTTGCAGCGCTGTGAGAATGCCGTTCTGGCTCGCCTTGGCCAGCGTCTGCCAAGCAAATCCCAGCACATGCTCAGTCGGCTTGGGTCAGAGGAGGCATTCATGCGTGATGTGCTGAAACGATACTTGGGCGACTTTCTGCCAGAGGAGGTGTTGCAAGAGAAATTGACGATAGCTCTGGCTCTTTTCCAGAGGCAGATTGTGGAGCCGGGGACTGTAGTGTGGCACGCAGGCGAGGAGTGCACCAAGTGTGCCTGTGTGGTGGAGGGCACCCTGCATGCATATGCGCACTCAAGCAGGGAGAGAACAGGTGAGGCACCACTTCCCCAAAGAAGTGGTTTGGGGAGCTCCGTGTTCGGCAGGGATCGACTTGTTTGTATTGCCGGCCCTGGTGATTTCATTGGCTTCTTGGCCATGGTGAACCATTTTCCTTATGAGCATACTGCCGTGGTGCCTATGCGTGAAGAAGATGATGAGGAGCCCGAGTCAACGACTCTCCTGGTGCTGGAGAGGAGCCAGTACCAAGAGCTCTTGATCTCAGACCCTCCATTGGGCCAAGCGCTTGTGCGAGGTTTCCTGAGGCAGATCAGTTATGAGTGGCGGGAGCTGTCGCGGTTGTCCGTGGCCTGAGAGATGGCATGGAGATGCCATTGATGCTCTCAGGCTAGGGGACCTGTCTTCCACACTGCGTGCCTGCCCAGAAAGAACCGGTCGTGTTGCAGGCGTTGCGGCAAGTTGCGGCATGCGACTCATGTGACACATATCACATAATGATACATATCTTCTGAACTCCATCTGTCAGGTGGTTTGCACGCCGGTGGTTGGAGTGAAAAAAAAATCGTGACCGTGGAATTTGGCTTTAAAGTATTCGCTATGAGATGCTGCTGTGTTTTTGGTTTGGCTGCGGCGTGGTTCTGCCTTCGCGATGTTTCGGGTGAAGACTTCCAGGCCCGCACCTTTGCCATACACAAGAAGAAGCCACACACACGGTGCCTTCATATCGCAGGCTGACTTGTCTGATCTTTCGGCAGTGCGGCTGCTGCACATCACCGACAGCCACATCTCTTTGAGTGATGAGGCAAAGCAGGACTGAAGTTTGTCGCCCCTCGCGTGTCCTTCACTTGTTTCAATTTTGCATTGGACCACTTCTTGTCCCACTCCACAGATCCACATCTTTTGCTCGAGGTGCCGCCTCGCTCGTCGCGCATGTTTGGCGCGTATGCGAGGACAATTTTGTTGACTGATGGGAAGATGTCCTTGCTGGATTCTTGCCAGTGGATTAAGACAGATGCTAACTGTCGCTCATTCCCAGGAGCAGGAACCGTGACACCAAGTCACCCACGACCCCGCAACAAGAGCTTCGATCTTACAGTGGGCCGATGCGTGCAAATCTTGCGTGGTGCATCGCAAAGCTCATCTGAAGCATCGTTCCATGTCCGAGGTTTTCGCGATTGGTCGGCTTGGCTCAAGACCTACATGTCGACCTCGTGGTTCTAGGCCTCTAGCCCTGTCTGGTTCCGGGGTGTGGGTATTCCTTTCTTGGCGCAGGCGCTGAAGTGAGGCAGATGCATTTTTTTTGTTTTTATCTCTGTCTCTGTGTGTGTGTGTGTGCGTGTGCGTGTGCGTGTGCGTGTGTGTGGGTGGGCGTGGGCTTGGGCTTGGGCGTGGGCGTGGGCGTGGGCGTGGGCGTGGGCATGGGCATGGGTGTGGCTGGGCAGACTCATAGCAGCTGCCCGCCAGACATGTTGAGATGGGAACACTGATGCCTTGATTTGCTGGCAGTTAGCACGATTGGTTACCCTCTCAAAGTTGGCATTTTGGAATCACTGAGGGTTGGCATTGACGCGAGGTCCACCATGTGTGTTGCAGGTATATCCATGCTCTTCAATAGGTCTTGCCGCTCATGCATGCGTCATCAGAAATCGAGGGGGTGTAACAAGGCACGGCGCATGTTCACCCAAATGTTGCCGCGTATGGGTGCATCGCCACAGCTTTAAACACAACTGGCCCCTGTCGGAGGTTCAAACACATTCATCACATGTCCGGAAGCTTCAAATTCAATGTGTGGTTCTGGAAAGATGAAATATTCTCAGACCCATCATGAACGACCTGTTGCGAGAGCAGTCTCACTTTCGAGGTTGAGTAGTGTAGTGTGTGTGGCACACCCATGCCTACACGAGCAGGGAGGTCACCCATGCCAGTGGGTGGCCCAACAAAAAGGTCCACTTCTGTTCAACTCCATGTACCTGCCATCTTGACATTTGTTTCGCTGTTGCAAATTTGCAAGATACCGGATGAGTTGAAATCGAGAGACTCAGGAAGTTGGTATCGAACGCTGGTTTAGCCAGTCGTTTCCCCAAGTGTGTATAGGTACGTATAGGTACGCGTATTCTGGAATGATGGAAGATTGCGGCTTCTGAGGCGGCGACATTTTCAACTTCCCGTCCAATCAGACAGTCACGTGGGTGCTTGAGCAGCTGCGAACTGCAGGCCCCATTTTTTCGCATGCACGAAGTAGTTTCGTTTTTTTGTTACCATCCACGCCCGCGCACCGCAGTGAAATCCAAGTGCCGGTTGCTACATTCCGCCACTTCCCGGACTGGACTTGAGCCCCGCAAGTAGTGAAAGCATTTCTTGTCCCTACACTGCTGGTTTGAGTACAAGCTGTTTTTGTGAGTTATTGCAACTTGTCCTGCGCAGGCAAGAGCTTCGTTTTCACGTCGGGAAATCACGACTGGATGTTGGAAGGCCAACAAGGAGCTTCCAGGTATGATGCCGCCCGAAGCTGGGTTACAATATGCTGAAACGGATTGACCACTTGCCTTTCAGAGCAGAGCCGCTCGTAAGGCCAAAGCCGGGTTCAGCTTGTGTGTCGATGAAGGTGTATTGCCGTGATGTGCCGTGATGTGGGGGGGTTCTTTGTAAGCTTTGTCGTGCCTTCGAGGAATATCGGAGCTGGAATCAACATTCAGGCAAGGCTCGGGCTGCTTTGATGAGTGTGGTCATGTCGACCCCTGCAGGCCACTGTATGAGCAAAGCCTTTCAAACGGAGGGTCATGCTATATGTCTTTGGGCCATTGGAATCGACCTGGCATCGGCATCCTGTATGGTTGCACAGTGATCAAGGGGCTTTTGCTGCTGTTCATCGACAACTCCAATTACCAGGTGGATGCTGACCAGCTGGAATTCGCACGTGTGCAGCTCGAAAGCGTGAGCAAAGATACTCCCATTGTGATTTTGCTGCACATCCCTTTAATGCTCCCTGGGGTCACGCTTCCTGCCAAAGAACTTTGTGGCCACGCACAATGGGGCGCTGCGACTGATACGGTTGCTCGGCCGCACTTCTTCGCAGATGTCCATCGTGCAAAGGCCCGACTCTTCAAGCGACTTGTGCACTTTGAAAGTAAGCGGAGAGAAGCCCACGAAGTAGCCCTCAAGAAGTCGCATATGTTATGTGGCATGTTGTGGCGTTGACGATATTTTCAGTTTTTGCCACATGCTCAGCTGAGTTGTGGCAGCTCGAGGGCCGACCAAGATGGCCGGCCGGCAACTTGCAAAGCACACTGGACTTCAGGGACCTACTGCAGGCGAAGGCCGCTCCCAACGGCCCGGTGGTGGCGGTGCTCTCAGGTGGGGGGGGATCAAATGAACATGTGCCGTGAGCTGTGGGAGTTCCTATGCGCTGTTGTGTTGCTCTTAGCTTTTGGCATCCTGCTTCTTGAAGTTTTGTTGGTTCTTTTGAGATTGAGGTTCTGATCGTACAGACATTGTAGTCAGCTCTGCTATCTTCACTTGGTGTGCAAACCAGTCATCCCCGCTGCTAAATCCGTGCGTCGTGCAACCTGTGAATGTGACTTACTTCTGCATGCTTCTACATGCTTCTGCATGCTGCAGGGCACACTCACGAGGATGCCTCCGTTCTGCTTCGCCCACCGGCAGAGACCGCTGAGACCTGTGAACCATGGGGTCGGTCCTGGACGGTGCGCTCGGAGGTCGCTGTCTTTGCGTGACCTTTTGTGTCACTAGTCTCAGCAACGCGCATGTGTGGGTGTGTGAGAGGGAGCAAGAAAACACGAACGAGCACACGCGGCTAGGTTCTATAGTGAGAATCTGGTATTTAGGGTCTGGACGTTGTCGCTTCTTTTGTATGCAGAGTGTGTGCAGTGGCCAAACAAGCCCAACACTTTTCTGTGAGGGCGGGCGCGAGAAGCTGAAGGAGGCGTGGTTGCTAGGTTGCTTAGGCACACTGCCAGAGCCTTGTGACGTGGTCCGGGACCTGATTACAGTATCACGGATCCAACTTCAGATAGCTTGACATTCTTGCAGTTTCTGTGAGCAGGGTGGTGGGGCGCTCCAGTACACGACCAGCAGTGCCACGGAAGGGGCCTACCGGGTCCTCACCATTTACTGATGCTGAGATGGTCATCGTGTGCCAGCATGAAAAGAGCATTGTTTTGAAGAAAGGGCATGCGAGCAGCATCTGGTAGCAAATGTCTTGGAAGGCACCACATTCATTTTCAACCTTTCCACGGCTCTGTTCTTTGTAGCATGGTTGGCCGAAGAGTTGACAGACACCACATAGCGACATAGCGCCAACATGATGTGCAGCTTGCAAGGCACGACAGGAGGAGGCCAGATGCATGTAGCAGAAGAAGGCTCGAGGTTTCTGTGCATCTGGTCGTTTAAAGAAGGCAAGTAAGCTGGGTCATTCTGGGCGCAAGCGTGTTGAAACCCCTCCAAACCCTGCAAGCACTGCAAAGCACACTCCGCAGCACTGCTTTTGAAGCCTCGTCGCCATGCTTGGGCTGAGTACTTTCTTTAAACAGGGCCGCTTGCTTGCAAGCAGGCTTTTCTCTTTCAATTCTGCGATTTACGGCGACTGGCTTCCACAGTTTGGGCATCTGCATGGCCAAGTGCCGCGAAGCCATGCCAGTTGCCAGGACTCTTTGCGACATACGTTGGTCTTTGGACCTCATCGCACCTGCTGGTCTACTCGAGCCGGTTGGCCTCTGCCCCGGCCTACAATGCGACGTCTGTGGTTCTTCTGACGGAGATGGTGAAGCTGTGTTTGGCCTCTGCCATGTTTGTGGTGGGCAGCCCGGTCAATTGAACTATGTCGAGTGGAAGTGTGTATGCTTGCCAGACTTGTTACGCCTACGCCCAGGCTTATGACGGCCCCCTTTCTGAGATGCTTCGTCTAACCTGGACGCACCGCCGAGTCTTGCTGAAATATGCGATCCCGGCTGTGCCACTGAGCCTGTGACTGTTTTGCCGAGGTTTAGGCAGTAAGGCATACATGAAGACATGACCATTCTTGACAAGCGAGCTGCTGTAGACACGACTGACATCGACTGACTTTCGTGTTAGGCTGTATGCTCTCTACAACAACTTGCTCTATGTGAACCTTGCCGCCTTTGATCCTGGCACGTACAACGTCCTGCTTCAACTGAAGATTGCACTGACGGGCCTGTTGCCGTGCCACAATCGTGGTTGACTAGGTGACACGCTGGTGTGATTACTTGCGCTTCCGAAGCAGAGTGACCCAAAGACTCCCAGGCTGTACCAGGTGCTATTCGCCAAGCAACTGAACCGGAACCAATGGCGAGCCATCTTCCTCATCACGGGTGGCTGCATGTGCAAAGAGTCAGGCAAAGTCAAAGCGTTGGGCTTCCAGGCGGGCACGTTTTGTCGCAGACGGAGCCTTTGCAGGATCCGCTGTCCCAGTGTAGATGAGGATCGTGCAACTCAAAACGGCCCCGTTTCCAGTGGTCCTGAGTTTATCTGAGTTTCTTGTTTTTTGGTATGGTACCTGTAGGCTGCACACACGTCTCCTGCAAGGCAAACTTAAGCTCCTGGCTGCTGCTCATTGTGCAGATGCTGTGCTCGGTGCTTGCAGGAGTCTACAACGAGGCCTGAAATCTATAAGTGCATTCCTGTGGGTTGCAGCTGGCTGAGTCATTCGCAACTGGAAGCAGGTTCTTCTCAAGGCATCTGACAGCGCGAATAGCACTGTCCCGACCAACCTGCAGACACGTAGCTGGAGCTTAGATCGGAAACCGTGCTTCCTCAAATGCCTCCCTGAAGCACTGGTGCGACCAGCTTCTCATAGCTTCTCAGCTTATCCTCTGTAACCCTCTACTTCATCCTCACCCGAGTGGATCCTGGGTGCTAGTCGAACTTGAGCCACGCTGATCCTCATCCAGCATGATAGGCGCACTGCTCAGGAATGCCTTCATGTACTTCCAGTCGATCGTCGTGAATGGCATCGTGCTGGTGTGGGAAGGGCAGGCAGGTTGATGCACAAGAGCCTGAGGTTACAATGGGGGCAATTCAGAATGGCTCTTTTGTCTGCGGACCGTCTTCCTTCACCCCCACGCCCTTGAGCAGCAAAGAGCATCTGCAGGTAGCGGAGTCCATCTCTGCCGACAATGTTGCTGCCATCCTTACCCCCAGGTCTGCGCGTTTTGTAGAGATTCTATGGAAGTTGGAGGATACCTTGCCCAGCTAGGTGTATGGCACCGCCCGCCCCCACCCTAGGACTCCAACCGATCTCAACCCTACTGCCACACCCCACAACTCCAACCCCAACATCTCAACCCCAAGACTTCACTCACAACTCCAACCCGAAGATCCCATCCAAGCTAGCATCCTAGGAATAGTGGCTACATTTATCTCGGTGCAATACTCCTGCATGGGCAAGGGCTTCCTTGTAGAGTTTGGGATCAGGGCTTGGAGCTTTGTTGAACTCTGGAGAAACGGGTTAGCCGATGATGCGTTTGTTGCGTCTTTGGCACCGGTGAAGCGACCCGCTCTACTATGTTCAATTCATTTTGACTTAATCTGAATGAGATAAAATGCCGTTTAAGGGGCAGTGTCACTATCAATAGTAGGAGTGAGACAATCAAAAGCACAAGGTATTATAGTAAAAAGCCTGTTGAAGAGTTCGGGTTTAGAAAGTTTATTAGGTTGGGCCAAGGTTGACGCAATTGCATGAATTGCAGAGCAAGAAGGAAAGATGACAAGAACATGAACATCGTAAATACACCTATTGATGACAAACCGGAACAAACAAAGTGGCCCGGCGCCCGGCTGGAGTAGCTAGGAGTTAGGCCCTGGGTGGGAACTATGGGACACCATTCATTTCGGCAGGTGGAAAAAGGTGTGAAAAAAAAACCAACAAACAAAGTCACCCTTCTTAAGTTGCAAAGCCCCGAAACCTGAACCCAAATTCTGCAAGGAAGCCTTGCCCACGTGGGAGTATTTAACTCGGAGCTGTAAACATTATTCTTAGGATGGTAGCTTGGTTCGGTCTGCAGGTTGGAGTTGAGGGGTGGGGCACTGGCATTCGGGTTGAGATCTTCAGGTAGGAGTCCTTTGGAGGGTGGTGCCACACACCTAGCTGGGCAAGGCATCCTCTAACTGAGTATAGGCGCTGTTTTGGTAGGGCATTGCGAAGAGCCCCCTGGTCTTGAGTTTTATTGCTTCGACCCAAAAGCCGCGGAGGGTGCTGCTCATCATCGGGATCATGTCCTCCGTCGGCCTGGTCACGGGCTTCTTCTTGAAGCACCTGGACTCCGTGCTCAAAGCTGTGGCGTCGGGGCTGGAGGCGGGGAAGAGGCGGCACGCGGACTCCAGGACTCCAGGCTTTCCCTTGCGGTCGCATTTCATCTGGCAAGGAGTCTCCTCGTTTTTTCGGATCCCCAGGTGGTCTTCACAACGCTCCTGGGCTTCCTGCTCTTTGGTGCGCCCCTTGGCGTGGCCGGCGTGGCCTCTGCCGCCCTTGTGGGCTCTGGAGTTGCACTTTACTCACGCCCGGTGCCCGTGCGGCCTCCGAGCGCAGAGGATGAGCTCAAGATCGTTTAGCATGCAGCCAAAAAAAGAGCTCAGTTTGAGAGTTCTTGTGGCTGGAGCTTGTGCATGTTGTGAGATTGAGTGTCTGGTCGCTCGACGATGCTTGCGAAGGAAACGTGCTCAAGCATCAGCCAAAGCAGCTGGTGCGCCTTCGGCGAATTTAGACCGAAAACCTTTCGGCGCATGGAAATGGCAAGGTGATTGCCTGAAATTGAGAAGGCGACGGTGCTGGATGTCTGCGCCAAAACAGTTTCTCCCATACCTCCCGACCGTGGGATCCATTCGGTCTCGCCACAAGCTTGCGCCGGGCTCAGGAACTAACAGCTGCATATAAGTTTGGTAAAGCCAGCACAAGTGGATGATGCACCGCCGAGCGCACGAAATGTTGGAGACTCTCGAAGACAAACAGTGGCCTCTGCCAGTCAGGATCGGTCAGTAGCTCGATGGCGGCCGACGAACCCTTTGCGGGACGACATGCCAGTACGGGAGCGGCGGGAGGTGCATCAGGAGAGGCCGCATGCGCTGCATCACCATGTGATGCAAAACCGAGAGTTTACAGCCAGTTTCCTGCCACAGGAGCCCCAGAACACACCATCCTTGGTACAGCGTCTGCGAGAGGCCCTCCAATGAAAGCCGGAGCTTGTATTTTCTCAGATGTTACAAGGAGTCTCGCAACTTGAAGGTTACGACCTGTTGGGGCACACTTCGGAGACTTCATTTCAGTATCTCTCGTGGCTCCATTCTCCTGAACGCCCAACACACTGACCTTCTACACGACCCACAGCTGTGTAGCAAACCGAGGTGCAGTCTGTCCCGACGCTTCCCTCGCTGCCGCAGACATCAGACAGGTCGACCGCAGCTGCACGATGAATAAGTATCAATTTTCACGCAGCCCGTCGGGAAGGTAGAAGGGGGGCTTCCTCACAACCATGGTCCTGGACGAGTTTTGCATCCTTTCTATTGTGTGAGGCGCACGGCCTCGACGGTCGAGAGCCAAGACTTCGGTTCACACGCAAGGACTACAACTGTCGTGAAGTGTCTTCCTTCGATGAGCTGATACTGGCTTTCATTCTTGTGAAACTTTGAGTTGATAGAGGCTCTCGATGTCCGCTTTCCACGCACAGATTGCCGAGGCAAATCTCTGGCGGGTCAAGATCTCAGCGCCGCCATGCGAAAAGGGGAGTGGTTGTTTGTTGGGAGCTCCAATCTAAGAGCCACGGCCCTCACACATGGTGTGCTGTCGGAGCTGCATCTCTGTGATCCGCGAAGCCTCGTCCATTGTTCCTGAACACACTAGCGTAAGCCTTTCATTTTTGATGAACTGCCACACTTGCTTGTGGGCACTGCTAGCAGCTACCATGACAAAGGCGGTCTCATCCTGGATACGCAGATGTCGTTGCAGTTTCGTGTGTGTGTGTGTGTGCGCATCTATCTTTAGCCGGACTATGTGTTGAGCCCTCAGGATGCCAGGGATTTGCTCAGTGGCAAAGAGGCCGTCCGGCGATGTAGAAGCTGGACTTGGTTTTCGACGGCAGTGTTTGTTTGCATGTGTGGCCTGGATGATGCGATCGGACTTGAGTTTACGAAGAATTTCTGGCACATTCTGTGGGTCTGGTGAAGAGCAAGTGGGACAAGTGCCCCCTGTGGACCCCAGAACCGGCACTTGCCTGACACACCTAACGAGCAGGCAGTGCTGGGTCTCAAGGCCCCCCGCCCTTTCCCATCACTGGGTGGCGACAAGCCTGCTTCACAGTCAACTCAGAGTGAGGCAGACTTGTTCTCTCGAATTCTTGGGGGAGGCTGAGCGGGGGGGGGGCCTCCGTAAGGCACCCCCCCGTGACCCGGGACACGGTGCCGGTTTCCATGCGCACTGCCGCAAGCTGCATTGCGTAGGCGGAGCTTCCCATCCTTGTCCCGCCTCCAGCGCACCGAGTTCTGGGCCTTGATGGCCAGGCCTGTGAGTGCGAGGGGGTCAGATGCCTCTGTTGGGGGGCATTTTGTTTCATTCCTGCGCAGCCGGAGCTTGCTTTTGAACGTGCCTTGCTTGTCATGGCTAAGTGTGCATGTGGTCGACAGGCGACCTCTGGCAAGCCTGGGAAGAGAAGAAGTGGCAGGAGACGGCAGGTTGTGGAATGTGTGTGAGTCAGTGAATTGTAGATTGAAAGTCTCGTATAGAGGCGACCGTCTTCCTTCCAGTGACGACCGACTACATATGAATCATATGAGTTGTTTCAGTGCCAGGAGTACGCTGATGGGAGGCTGAGACTGTTGGGAAGTGTTGGGACCATCACCCGCAGATTTGGCCGGGAAGGGGGGAAGGGGGGGGGCCCGACTTACAGCCTACAAAATATCGAGACTTAAACGACAAGATGGGGTTTAGTATAATATATTCAGTGACGCACAAGGGGTGGGATACGCTCATGGTTTTCATAGGGTTTGAGGCTAAGAGCTGGGTTTAAAAGTTTGGGGTTCGGGCCGGGTAGAGGACTGGAGACCAAAGCGGTGATGTTGCATTGCCTTCGCCCCGCATTCGCACAGCTGCTTTCAAAAAAAGTCGCGGTAGTTCGTAGCCTTCGAGGTTGTGTTGGGATTAGCCGCAACAAAAATGTTTAGGGAACCATGCTGATGCCTTGCTGGCAGGAAAGTCGAAGCCGCCCAAGTCGTTGCATTTCGAAGATGTCGAAACTGTGCGGCGTGGCACTTGGGGTGAGGTTTTCTGCTGTGAGTTGAGAGGCAACCGGCAACTCAAATGCCTATGACGTATGTCGCAGTGAAGAGGATGTAGCTGCTTGTTGCATTGGCGAGGCCTCCGACTGCAGAGGCTGCTGGCAGCTACAGTGTGCATGTCAATGTTAGATCAATGATTTGTCTTGAGGACTCTTATGCTTGAGGCTTTGGACTTGTAGGATCATGCCGTGGAGCATTTCGCAGATACTCGGTGTTGCGTGTTTACTCCGGCCGTGTACAGTATTTGTGCTGTGCTCTATGGCATTGCGCTACAAACCGTCAGGTCATGCCTGCAGAAAGTCGCCAAGTGGGCCAAGTACTGGAGAAAGCAGGCGTCCAGAATTCAAGAACAGAACAGCCTCAACTTTGCGAAAATGAAGTCAACGGGTGCAGAAAAGACAGCCTGTTCAGCCATGCCACGTCTATAGCCTGTAGCTTGTTTGGCCAGGCTTGTCAACTGCGCAGCAGGGCACCATGCCAGCATCAAGCAGGAGACTGTGTGTTGGATGTCGGGTGTAAGGTCGAGGGCCCAAAGTAGCCTTTGCTGGACATCTTTTTTGCAGCTCCATGCGAAACAACTCAGATCTCAGCAGTTGCTGAGAAGGCATTCAGCCCCATAGTCTCCTTTGTGATAAGCATCGCGGCGGTAGCTGCTGCCGCAGGCACTTTCGCAGGCAAAGACTGCATCGGCTGCAGGAGAGCCGTAAGTTTCTCATTGAAGAAAGGGCGGAGTGAAGACACCTTTCCGAGGTGCACTGGAGGCCGACCGGGCCTATGTCGCAACACAGTTGGCTCAGAAGGCTCGTAGTAGGAAGCTCGCTTGTTCTGACCATGACCATTTTTTTTTCTCTCTCTCTCTCTCTCTCTTTTTTTCTCTTTCTCTCTCTCTCTCTCTGTATCTCCTGCCCATCTCTCTGTCTCTCTCTCTCTCTCTCTCCCTCTCTCTCTCTCTCGCTCTCGCTCTGGGTCTCGCTCTGGGTCTCAAACTTGCAGGGGCTGGCATTTGTTTGCCAACATTTCTGTTGTGAGCGGCTCGATGCACAGTGTGATGGTGGTGTTTTGGGAGGTTGAGGAGACGAACCGGGAGGCTTCTGTGCAGAGGCAGGCGGCTGCCGTCGTCGGAGGCCCAGCTGGCCCAGCTGGCCCAGCCTAGCCTGCTACAGATGTTGTAGGTAAGAGACGGGCTCTGAAGCCTCAAGCCCAAGCCAAGTCTTCAAGCGGGCAGCCCGCTGCAACAACGCTGGCCAGCCGACTTCAAAAGTATGGTTTAGGTGCCTTTGCGCTTTGCCATTGCCTGATATTGACAGTTTCCCGCCAAGCTTTATAAGGCTGACCGGTGGTGGTCCTCCATCTTCCTTCCCCTTCCAGCCCCACGGCAGCTCCTGCCCCAAGCCTTGGTCGGCCAAGAGGGCTTGGCTGGGGCCTTGGGAGAGGACGGCAGATAACAGCAGCTCTTTTTTTCATAAGAAGTGCACCGCTCGAAGCCAGACAATGCCAGACACTACTCCGCACCACGCTGGTGATAAGCGGGTCCGGCATCCATTCTTTCCAATGACCTGCAGTGCTCATTGCAGGTCAATGAAGTCAACGAGCCTGCGAAGCCCGTGGGTTTCAAGCCGAAGGCGCGCCTCCTCGTTCTTTTTGGGACGAAAGATGAAAGTCAGAGACGACAACTCCAACATCTCGCGTTTTAGAGCTGGCGCAGGTGAAGTTAGCTCCAGAGGAGGTCGAGGAGATCGTGCGGATATGCCGCCTCTTCGCGAGCCTGACGCAGCCCCAGGCAAGCCTGGAGGCCACCCGACCACTTTTGCGCATCTTTGACGGCAGACTCCCTTAAGTCGCGGGATCCCGCACCTGCCACGTAAAGCAATCAAGCCATGCTCAGAGCTCGTGTAGTTCGGCTCGCGTGTTTTGCTCTCCGTACGTTCACCAGGTTCCTTTGCGCAGCCTTTCGCACTCGTTTTGCACTCGCAGCAACATGACAGGCGGTGCAGAAGACAAATGGCACACAGGCAAGCGAACTGGTGTTGAACAGGCCCAGAGTTGCTTTGTTTTGTCTGCTTTCTTGTCACGAAGCTTGCGCAGTCACTTGCCCGTGAGGCCCTCTTTCTGCCAGCTCCTGATCGCGCTAGGGATTCAAACGAATGAACTTGTGCTCGGAGCTTGGGGGGCATGGTGGTTTGCTTGTGGTGGACGTCTGCTTCGACAGACTTTATCGAGAAAGGCGGTCTGGCGTTTGGGGGCCCTTCTTCCTGAGGCCAAGATATCACCGAGTGGTGAAGTGC